CTTTTTATAAGGTAAAAATAATAAAACAAGGTCTTTGTCTGCAATGATTAGACACGTTTTTTATTATTGTCATTAGTGATTATCTCAATTTTGGCTAAAAGAATTGACAAAATCCTACACACTGTGCCTTTAATTTTAAAACAGAAACAAAATGCTAACTTTGCATCCGTTTTACTCAGAAAACAACTGGAGGAAAGCACAAGGAGTGCATCGAGCACCAGAACTGTGGCCTGAAAGTCAACAATGTCCTGTTTATGAGAAGATGGATGCAGACAGATTATAAGATCAGGGACTAACGAGAGAAGTGGCTCCAGCTGTGAGAGAGGAGCAACGAGCAGGTGAGGATGGACGTGGCAGACTGGATAAGTTCTCCCAGTTTGACATGCATGAAAAACTCAACCTCAACTGATTCCACTCGATGTGGAGGAGCTGAGTCTCTCCCTGATAAGTGAACTCCCCACCTCACGTCTAACAGAGAGTCCAGTCTATCCAAGATCATCTTTTTTTCAGTTTAGTGTTTGTGACCCCGATGGGCCAACACAGATACTGCAGAAACCGGACCGAGCCTTCCGTCGACCTCTCGTCCAATTTTTCCCTCACTTAGGAGCAAAAACCTCAAGATTCTTGAGCTCTTCCACTTGAGGCAGAACCTCATCAGTAATCTGGAGGGGGCAGTCCCTTCTCTGGGGACCAAACAAGTTAAATGCTCAAACTGTTTCAGTAAAAACTGGAGATCTTGGCACGATAATGCCAACAAGACCAAACTGTCCACAGATGGCAGAGATGGATTTCAGGTGAACTCAGCCTTATAAGCACTGCCTCCACATGGAAAAACAGGTTAGTCACCTGTGAGCAAAAGGTATGAGTCAGGGCCCCAATGATACCAACACAAAGAGGGAAAGAGGGACAAAAATAAGGGGACGTTGAACCCCCGCTTGCATTCACTACATTCACATAATACAACATGGGTCAGGTGATGGGGCACATGACCCTCTATGAACAATAGAGCCAATCATGGCCCTCTTTTGCATTTGACTAACCTGTTTGTCCATGTGGAGGCAGTGCTTATAAGGCTGAGTTCACCTGAAACTCATCAGACTGAAGAAGTCTCTTGGAAGAGAGACGAAACATTTCACTAAAGAAGAACCCGTCCAGAGGACCTACTTATTTTTTCTTTTTGATTTTTTCTGCCTGGATCACTGAGATGCATCAGGAAATATAAATGTGATCTTTTGAAAGCTTTAGATGCCAGCGTTTGGCTTTTTTAAAAGCGTATAAAGAGGATGCAACATTTCAGGAGCCGAAAAGTGTTTTATTGTAAAGGTTTTGCACTGTGGACAATTTCTTACAGCCTGCAGATTGATGGGGTGGGGGTCTTCAGAAACACCACACTGACACCCCCCTCCTCCCTCCTCATAATGTCTGTTTGGCTAATTTTCTTAGCAAGCCCACCAACTGGGAACACCCAGCTTCACCAGGCATTAAAGACAACATCGTTCACAGAAGTGCAGGCCCAGGCTGTAAGCTTGGCGAGCACAAACTGTCAGATTAAGAGGTCTGAGAGGATGATCCAGCCAACATTTAGTCGGATTTCTGGCAAATTACCACCAAGCACGTTTGGGTCAACCCTTCAGCACCCTGGGGGTGTGCAATACTTTTGACACCCAGGAACGTTGGAAAAACCGATCTGCGAGGCCCGTTTGAGGCTCCACAGACTGCAGCGTTCTGTCCCTCTTCACGCCGCCGCCAAGCAGCAAAGGAGGGGTCCACCATTTTACCACTGGAAAAGGAAGCTGAGCTTTTAGGTGTCTTAACTGTGGCCTTAAGTGCTAACACAGGATTAGTGAGGTAAACGATGAAAGAGGTTTAGCACTCCCTGCTTAGGAGCAGTGCTGCTTCAGTAATTACACATCAGTGGTAAAGGTGCAGCGGGCGGTTGGATGGGAGATCATAGTGATGTCAAGACAGGGAGGGCTTACTGCAGGAGATAAGGCCAGCTAATGGAGATGAAATGAATCGGTATTTAAAAGGTCTGGTTTAGTTAAGGCACCTTACTGGCAGCAGATTGGACTCAAACTGACTGGAAGGAGAAGAAAGGAGTGAGAAACAGGTTCTGTTAGAGTCCAAAAAATTACATTTGTTTTTATTGTTGTTTACCTGAACGGGACAGAAACAGGTCTGAGTTCAACTCACTGGTGGAAACTTGAAGGTAAGTTCCTTAAAACAAACTCTTTACTTGTAGTTTTAATTTTATGTTCAGAAATAAAGAAGACATACTCTTTTTTTATGATGTAACATTTTGGAAAATAGTAAGTGTAACTTTGCTAAATAAAATCATTTAGTTTAAAATGAGTAAATTGAACTGGCATTATAGTATATTGTACTGTAAAATGCAGATAGACAAACTATTACTACATACTTAGAAATGGTTATTTTATTATTTTTTTAAAGTTGCATTAATTCTCAGAACTTACAAAACATTACATATAGTATACTGAATTACAAATGCAGTAATGATGTAAAGTAAAATACTGTAATTGCATTGTAAAGTAAATACAGCAATAATACTTTAAATATCAATACAGTATACTTATACTGCAACATGCAGTATTATGTATTTTAATTACCCTATAAAATAAAATGCAGTAATTGTACTGTAAATTAGAGTAATATTACTAGTACAAAATACTATAAAACGTAACTTAGAACACAGTAATATTACTCTAGCATACAGTACTGTTACTGTAAGAAAAATATGGTCAAGGTACAGTAAATACAAAAATACAATAGTATAAATGCAATACAAGCACTGCAACTTACAACACAATACTACTACTGTACAGTATTGATACTGTAAAGTAATGTTGAAATACTAATACTGCAAGCTAAAATACAGTAATAGTACATTAAATAAATACACTAGTACTGCAACTTACAACACTGTTACTATTACTGTAGTTACTTTCCAATTCCATTGTTTTACAGTGTTGATACTGTAAAGTACTGTAAAGTAAATACAGTACTGATGTTGTTAGTGTTTTTACATTATCTTTGCAGGTGCTATTAAATTCCTGTAAAGTTTACAATATAATGATATTTATTTCATTTTCTTCGTGGTTTTTATTTTGCCTGATATATGACTCCTTCAGGTTCTATAAAATGTTACTTTAAGATGTATAAGTTTATGATATAATGTTTTTCATTTCAGGTTTTTGTTCAAATCACACAAAAAAGTGCATCTGATTTAGTTATGTTTTTTGTGGGGTTTATCAGCAGTAAACCTCATAAAAGCTGCTGATTCCTTTTTAAGTAATTATTTAAAAGGGCAATCTGATTAGACTAAAGCTCAAAATCTTCATTGTTTAACAAATAATTTGCCCAAATTCTTTAAATAGCACCGATAAACAGATTTTTAAAAAGACTAACAAAAACTTGTGTGAGCTCGCCTCTATATTCAATTAATTTTACCATGAGATAATCCAATCTGCTTCGTGCATCTGTCAGAATTTACATGGCTTGAGCGTGTGTGTGTGTTTGTGTTTGTGTTTGTGTGTGTGTGTGTGTGTGTGTGTGTGTGTGTGTGTGTGTGTGTCTGTTGGAC